CCCTGTACTTTTCCTCTCCCGCTTCTCGGGGCGGGGGTGCAGGGGGGTGCTCTGGGGCATCCCAGCCAGCAGGGACCCTGCTGCCACCCCACACCTGCAGGAGAAATGGGGTGGGGGTCAGGGCGGGGGGGTGGCACTGGAGCCCCCTCCTTGTCACATTGGGGTTGGCAGGGGTGGGCTTTACCACGGCTCGGGGTCACCATCCCGAAAGCCCTTGGCGAAGGGGTTGCTGGCGATCTTCAGCTGGGTGATCTGCAGGGGGGGGTGCAGCGAGGTTAGGGGGGTTCCTGGGAGGGGGAACTCACTGGGGGGGTGTGGGGGGGCTCACCCGGTGGTTCTGGTAAGCTGTCACCGCCATGAACTGGGTCTCGGGGAAGCTGAAGGTCTTGAAGTTCTGGTGGGCGAAGCGCTCGCTGTCCCGCCGCCGACATGGAAGCGGGGCTGGTAGCGGTGCATGGAGTTGAGGATGAGGTGGGGGGAGGTGAGAAGGGGGGAGGTGGGCAGGACCCCCCCCACCCCTTTCCATCCTGCCGAGGTACGTTAAAGTCCCAGCCCCGGGGGGTCGGGTCCTCACGTGGCCGTTGTCGTCCAGGAGGTTGTTGGTCAACTTGAGCTTGTCGAAGGAGACGATTTGCCGCATCCACTGGGCACCCTTGGCCGGGGAGTCGGGGTGGAAATGGACACGACCAGGGGCTGCTGGGTCAGCCCGACCTGCTGCCAGCCAGGAGGAGCTGTGGAAGGCATACCTGCGGGATGGGGTTGGGGCTCAGCACCACCTGGATCCGACCACCCCTCTCCCAGCATCCCCATCCCCACCTGTATCTCTTGTCGTCCAGCGGGATAAAGTCCATCAGCAGGACGTAGTCGGCCAGCGGGTCCAGCCCCGACAGCTTCACCTGGAAGGTGGGGAACATCCTCCTGCAGGGATGGAGAGGTGGGAAACGGGGTGTCCCACCCCAGGAAACACCCACGCCCCCAGTTCTGGCTCCCACCTGCCCGCCTTGGTGACGATCATC